GGCTTATCATATACCTCTTAGCTTATCAGACTATACTTCAGGTTTATATTAATGTAGTTCTTTTGAAATATACAAATGTTACTCCTTTATAGCTCTATTCCCCTTTCCCTCGTTTTTTCCTATTATTGATATGCATATTATACCTATGTACTATGTTAAAATAGCATTTTAACATATATATGTTTTAGACTGAAGAATACATTATTTTAATTTTTACTCTATATAATTTTGGTTTTCAAAGCTGAGATAAGAAAAGAGGAGCAACTATTTATAGTTTGTTATATTAATTTTATTTATTTACCAACTTCTGTTCTTCCATCTAAGGAGTTCCTACTTTTTTTTTCCTGTTTTTCACTTTCCTAGGGATAACTGTTACCTAACTGTTATCAACATTGATATTCCATTAAATTATGACTTTTAAAGAATAGAATAAGATAAAGGATGATTTTATGGATTGAATTTTTGTCCCCCAAAAGATACTTCCACATCCTAACCCTAGTACCTGTGAACATGATATTACTTGGAAATAGAGTCTTTGCAGATGTAATTAAAATTCTGAAGATGAGATCATCCTGGATTTGGGCTGGGCCAGAAATCCAATGACAAGTGTCCTTTTAAGAAAAAGGAGAGGAAGATTTGACACAAGGACATAGAAGAAAGAAGGTCATATGAAGGTGGAGGCAGAGATTGGAGTTATGCTGCCCCACAACAAGGAATGCCAGGAACCTCCAGAAGCTGGAAGAAGCAAAAAAGGATTGGGTCCTTGCAACACCTTGATTTTGTCCTTTTAGCCTTCAGAACTGTGATAAAATAGATACCAGTAGTTTTAAGCCACCTGGTTTGTGATTATTTGTTATGGCAACCCTAGGAAACTAATATACCTATCATGTAAGCATTCCAGATTTTTTTCTACATAAATGCATTTTTGCTTTAGTTTGTAAAATTTTTTCCTCTCTGCTTAATTAAAATTTAACCATGGGGTTAAGACTGGTGATTCTAATTGTTACAAAATACTTCAAAGCATTAGTCCTGATTAATTAGCATTGATCCTGAACAACAAATAATTTTATGTGAGCATATACATATCAATAACTTCCCTATTATCTACCTAGCCATTAAAGTGAAGAAAACAGCAGGGAAGTTGCACAAGTTCATCAATTTATTGCCTGTCATCTCCAAATTCACCCTTACTGCATGCTCTGTGAAAATACATCTGAGCCATTTAAATATTTTTCCTTTTGTCAGCTGGCACTGAAGCTTTGTCAGTAGAGGGCGCTGGAAAGATGGTGCAGCAAGAAAAGGTTTTGCTCCCTGTTTTTGGCGGGCTCACTGGGCTTGTGCAGCTCTCTTCAGCGCCTGGCTTCTGTGGTGCACAGTTTGTGTAGCACCAGGCAGCTTCCCCTGGCACCATCCCTTTTGTAATTTTGTAGTAAAGTGCCTCTGGTGAAACATTTCCCCATGAACATCTTTCTCAGGCAGCACAGAAGGCCAGTTCCAGAGGGTGGGTTTCTAGCAAGTTCCAAAAGACAGAGTTCCAGTAACTCCCAGAGGTTGGAGTTTCCGCAAGTTCTGCCTGCAAGGCACCACAGCATCTTTCCTGCTACTGAGTGAATCTCTACTTGCTGTGTCCTGTCCAGCAAGGTCTAGATCTTAGCTCTGGGAAGAGAGGAGGGGTGGAGAGTGCTTAATCTCAGTTTTAGGGGGAGTGGCTATCTTATCTACTATTATACATCTGTTATTCCTATATCCTTTAGAGCAGCAGCCCCCAACCTGTTTGGCACTAGGGACCAGTTTCATGGAAGACAATTTTTCCATGGACTGGGATGCTGGGGAGGAAACGTTTTGGGATGATTCAAGCATGTTACATTTATTGTACAGTCAAATCTCTCTACTAATGATAATCTGTATTTGCAGCTGCTCCCCTGCACGAGCATCGCTGCCTCAGCTCCACCTCAGATAATCAGGCATTAGATTCTCATTAGGAGTAAGCAACCTAGATCCCTCACAAGTGCATTTTATAGTAGAGTTTGCGCTCTTATGAGAATCTAATGCAGTGGCTGATCTGACAGGAGGCGGAGCTTATGCAGTGATGCAAGCAATGGGTAGCAGCTATAAATACAGATGAAGCTTGCTGTTAACCTCCTAGTGTGCGGCTTGAATGTTCCTTTTTTTTTTTTGAGACAGGGTCTCCATCTGTTTCCCGGGCTATAGCGGTGATGTCATCACAGCTTACTGCGACCTCAAACTCCTGGGCTAAAGCAATCCTCCTACTTCAGCCTCCTGAATAGCTGGGACTATAGGCACATGCCACCATGCCCAGCTAATTTTTCTATTTTTTGTAGAGATGGGGTCTTGTCCTTGCTCAAGCTCTTCTCAAACTCCTGGCCTCAAGCAATCCTCCCACTTTAGCCTCTCAAAGTGCTAGGATGATAGGCATGAGCCATCACGCCTGGCCTAGAGCTCTCTTTACTCCTTACTACCTAATCCCTCACTACTCCAATCTCCTCTTAACATTAATAATTATTTATCTTAAACATTCCCTATTCAAATGATTGCGTGCTTTTTCTCTCCTGATTGTGCCTAGACTGATACAGAAGTAATCATGGAATAACGGTGCCACATAAATTTTGAAATAGTACACAAATATATTTTCACATGACTGTCACAACAATTCTTGTGAAGTAGGCACGGCAAGTACTATTTATTACTCACATTTTACAGGTAAGGAATAAGGTTCACAGATTGTGAGTAGTCCAAAATCAGTCATTTTTATCATCTGTAAAATGGGAATAACAATAGAACTTATGTCCTAGGGTCATTGTAAAGATAAAACGATGTAAAGCACATAAAGTGCTTAGTACACGATACTGGCTTGATAAATTTTAACTGTTATATACAAGTTGAGCATCCCTAATCCAAAAATCCAAAATCCAAACTGCTCTGAAATCTGTAACTTTTTGAGGGCCAACATGATGACGGTGCAAGTGGAAAATTCCACATCTGCCCTCATGTGAAGGGTAGCAAGCAAAACTTTGTTTTATACACAAAATTTAAAAATATTGACTAAAATTATCTTCAGGCTATGTGTATAATGTGTATATGAAACATAAAATAGTTTTGTGTTTAGATTTGTGTCCTATCCCCAAGATATCTCATTAACATAGATGCAAATATTCTAAAACCCCAAAACATCCCAAATCCAAAACATTTTTGTTCCCAGCACTTCAGATAAGGGATACTTGACCTTTATATTATATTTGAACTGTAAAAATTATTCAGATAGTCTGGTGTATACACCAGATAGTCTGGTATCTTCTTACTAAACTACTCACAATGAGTTGTCTGGGTGTATGTATTTTTTCAATATCTATTTTTTTTTTAACTAACAGTATTTGTTTTGTCAAGTACCACAGCATACCAACCAAAGATAAACCTATCATTTCACACTTTGTGTGGTTATTGCTTTCTGAGACAAAAAAAAAAAAAAAGACCAGAGTAAGAGCTAATCAATTTAGGCTAAGTTTATATCAGCTTAATGGAATTCTAGGCCTACTGTGGTTAATGGCCAAGTTCTGAGTGAGGAAACCAAATTCCTAAGAATACAGCCCTAAATTTATAAGGTGAGCCCTCACACTTAAATATTTCAATGTTAATAATACATGCAATGTGACTAGCATTTATAGTCTTATCGGGTTCAGCTTCTATTAATTCTTTTGGTCAAGGCATGGGGTGGCAACAGGATGTTAAGGGAAGGTAGGCAAGGAAAGGAGCCAGTTTACTACATCTGTGTCAGTTATTATACCAACCCTTTGATCACCGAAGATTTCAGTAACTAAATATAGAAAGTCAGTGATGTACTGACTTGGAGTTGTATATTAAACAAACGAAATGTAGTCTCAAAACCTGTACAAAATTGCCTTGTATAGACATAAGCAATAATATATAAAAATCCTTGGTTAATGTAAAGCACTTTGGCAGTATTAAAAAAACCAATAGAAAATTATCCTGTAGGAATGGAATGGGATAGACACAGCATGCATTAAACTTCAGAAGGAGTAAAATGCTTTATGGCTGAGTGCAAAGTTCTCATGCAATATTTATCGGAATGAGGGACATTTTAAGTGGTCTTCTTCTGTAATTATATAAGCCCCTTACTCAGGATTGTTAAGTACAGCATTTTCATTTGGTACAGAAAATCATTTTAAAGAGAAACAAGTAGGAGCTCCTTTTCCTCCCTCAGGCATAAAACCCTTTAACCGGCTAGCTTCCATTCCGTGTAGGAGAGAAAAAACAAACAAAAAACAAAACTGCTTTGGTACCCAGAGGAAAACAAGGAAAGTAACTGAGTCCAGTAAGCACCTCACAAGTTCCTCAAGATCACCCCAGACGGAAGGGTCCCCGGCCGGAAAAAGTCGGATTGTCCTCACAGGAAGGGCAAGCCACTCTGGAGCTTGCGGACGCGAACGCCACCACAGAGTTCTAAAGCTGTTGCCAGAGCGCCGGCCGTCAATTAGCTCCTCCCCCTACTTCCTAGCGGTAGCTAGGCAACCGTTGGCCCTCTGGAAGAGCTGAGGCCCGGCCACTGCGTTAGTGCCTCTGGCGGCGAACAGCGAGCACTGCAGGACCCTCTCATGGTTTTTACCCTCCCCTCTCTCCACCCCCTTTTCTCCCCGCCCACCCCGTCGCCACTTCGGCTCCTCCCTCTTCTTCTCTCTCTCTCTCTCTCTCCTCTCTCTGTCTCTCTCTCTCTCTCTCTCACTCACTCACTCTCTCTCTCTCTCTCTCTCTCTCTCTCTCTCTCTCTCTTCCTCCTCCGCCTCCTCAGCTCTTGGGCTAGAATATCTATGGGTCGAAACGTGATGCGATGAATCCGAGAGAGACCGAAACTGGGACGAGGAGTGCGGCGGAAGCGGCGGGACTCCCGGGCATGGGGGCTTCACCACAATAGAGGCAGCGCCCCCACCCGCCCCCGCCAGCCCCTCTGGAGAGAAACCCCCAAACCCCCTCGGGAAAAGGATGGCGGCGGCACCTACCCAGATCGAAGCCGGTGGGTAGCTGTGTCCGGGGGGGCTAAGGGTGTGGGGGCTTAGCGCGACTGCTGTCAATTTCTTTTGAAAAAGCTTCTATTTCTCTTCTTTGCCTCCTTCTCAACCTCTTTTCCCCCCTCTTCCTCAGAGCTGTATTACCTGATCGCTAGGTTCTTGCAGTCCGGACCCTGCAACAAATCCGCTCAGGTGAGGGGGAGAAGGAGATCTGGGAGTCGTGGGGGAATGGTCCCAATGGGGAAATCGAGGCAGTGGGGTGAACAGTTCCTCTGAGGGTGAGGGAAAGGCCGGCCCTGACGAGTCCTACGGTCAGCGGCTGGGTTTTAAGTGGGGAGGGAGGAATGGGTTGATGGCCCGAGCTGCTCCTCATATTCGTGTTTCCCTTTTGCTCAGGTGCTAGTGCAGGAGCTCGAGGAGCATCAGGTACGGAGCCCCTTCGGGAAGGGGTGGGGAGGGTTGGGGTGAGACTGGAGGAAGGGGAGGGCAAGTCAGGGGCGGAGGACAGGGGCCGGGAGGGAGGCTTCGATCTGGGAGCCCATAGCTGTTGTCACCGGGGTGAACCGGTTTCTTCCCTCAAAAGGGGCGGACAACGCTGGGGTCTTAACTCGCCCCCTCTTTATGCTTGTGGAAGCGTTTTTTCAGGATTTCCTCCTCCTCTGCCGCCCTCCCCGCCCCCC